CGGCTGCTTAGGGAGTGTAAGAGTTGGAACAGATTACTTGCCTATTCGCACATTGTTCCTCCCACCCAGAAAGAGAAGAGCATCCTCAGGCCATAGGAGAAGTGGCACCCAGGGCAGAGTGAGGCCACTGCTAGAAATGGGGGAAAAGTAATCCAGCAAAGAGACAGCTAGCCCTGAAGGCTGAGGCCTACCAGCCACTGGTGTTGTAAATAACTCTGCCACTGTATATTAGGAAAATGGTACTCAATAGATGGGGTAGGGATGTAAATGAACAATTAGGAGACTTGGTGGCTCCAAGTTATCAGCATGGCTGGCAGGAAGTATTTGAAGTTAGAAGCTCCTGGGAACTAAACAGAAAGATCAGGGACCCAGCAGTCCTACCTTCTGAGCGGGAGCCGGATGTGATTTGTCCTGGGAGCCCTTCACCTCTGTGCATGTTGTTGAGCATCCACCCTGGGACTAGAGCATGCACCATGAGATATAACCTAGGACCAGGAGGCCATCACAGTCCTGAAGAACAGGTACTATGATGGGGACCAAGAGGATGCTGAGAGAGAGTTCCCTACATCATCTTCCAGACTGAATGATATCCAAAGAAAAGAAGTGAGAGGAGAGTGGACTCTGGGCTGTGTGAACAGATACAAAAGGACAGAAGCCAAAAGGGCCTCAAAAGATGACTAGGGCTAGAGTAGGTGGAGCAGGAAGAAGGGTGATGCAGTTTGGTGTGAAGGCAACAGAGCAGCAGGAGATGAAAATCAGGACAAAGGTAATGACATTGTGGTGGAAGAACTGGGGAAACTTCTGGAAATCTATCCCAAATCCTAGGGTTGGAACCCTTGACACAGTCTTATATACCCTACTGCTCTAGGAAAAGGAAGATTATAACAGGGCAGGTGCCCAGACAAGAGGAGCAAGGTCTAGGCCAGGGTACACATTACCATAGTCTGTTTAGCACTTATTTAAGGGCAGGCACTTAATACACTGCATCTGCTTGGTTGGCATGCCCACCTTCCTCAGAGGCCTGCTTCTCACCTAACCGCTCTCGGATCTCTGTCAAACATGGTGATTCACACTGATAATCTCAGTCTTCAGGAGGCTGAGGCTGAGGATCTCAAGTCTCAAGCCAGTCTGGGCTACATAGAAAAGGCCCTATCTCAAAACAAACAAGCGAACAAACTTTTATAAGTAAGCACATTTAGGACACAAACAAACATGTCCCAGTTCAGGTCCTCAGATGGTGGGGTGCTGCCTCCAGCAGCTATCTCTCATAAGATGTTCGCTGAGCACACTCACTTCCTAGGGTGAAGATGCAGAGAATAAAAAATGAATAAAGCAAGCCCTGGCAGCTCACGCACATTTGTATGCATGAGTTGCCTTTCTCTTTTAAGTGGTATTAGTATAGTTCTGGGTGAAACTGTCTTTCTATTATATGAATGTGCATCTGTGGTGTGTGCTTATACATAGGTTAGTTGTTGCTTGCTATGAGATGAAACTCTGGCTCAGTTGTTCCCTGAGAACAACTGGTGAGAAACTGCAAACCTGCACCCTCTCTCACCAGGTCTTGCAAGCCCTGACAACAGGTAGGGGATGCTGTGAGTGAGGGCTGTGGGCTTTCACCCTGATGTCCTAGTTGACAGCTCTGTCACAGCACAATCCCACCCAAGACCTCCAGAGTTATGGGGCCCTAGTGGCTCAGGGCACCAGATGCTCAGCAGATGCCAAGCCTGGGACTGAGGCCCCATCTCTGAAGGCTTGGCTTGCTGTTCTGGAAGGTGATCCTGGCTGGCAGCCATTCCTGAGCCCCTATTTAGAGCAGTTGTCAGGCAGTTGCTGGGCTCCAGCTCCCCATCCCCAGCGGGGCTGAGTGATCTCATGCCTGTGCAATGCTGTCACTGGGGGAGGAGGTGTCCTAAGACTGAAGGCAGGTGCCCGGACCAGAAGGAAAGCCTAAGTCATGGCAACCCAGACAGCTCTCAGCCACTTTCCCAGTCCCATATCCTAATGTACTCTAGCCTGCTTCGTCTGCCCTGGGATAGTATAGGGTATCGTTTGAGTTTGGCTGTGAGCTCATCTATGCAGCATCGCCCCTTCCCCACAAGAGAGAATGGATCAGATGGCTGCGAGCTTACTGGTCAGAGGCCACCATGGCACCCTTGTTTGCACAGAACCCTTATCACAGAGGGTTTGGCTAAGAAAGAAACAGCCACTGGGACTCCAGGGACCTCCACCCTCCACACATTGGGCCACAGAGCCACAATTTGTGAATTCTGGGGTTGTTCTTGCACAGAAGTTCTTGGGTTCTAAGCGGCTCCTGCCACGTCCCCGGACCTGGAATGGAAGATTCTGGGGGCCCTCTGCTGTTCACAGTGAGAACTGCCCGGGATAGACAGGTGCCAGCAAAGAGGGCCCTTTACTAGCCCTAGGTAAGAGTAAAGGATCTCTGTGCATCCCTCCATGGGGTTAATGACCCCACAGGAGATCTTGAGCTCAGTGGAGCTCTAGCTGCTAGTGGCTTTACCATATCTCAACCTGACAGTTCCGGAGTTCCACTGGGGGCATCTTACAGCTCTTGGGGCTCTTGGGAGTCGTGGGGCTCCAAGTCCAGAGCATCTGCCAAGCCCTTTGTGGTGTACACAGGCTTGCCCCTTCCCCTTTCACTTGCAGGTGGGGGGAATGGCTCCCACAGCCGCCCTGTAACAGTAATGAGCCTTATTAGCACCCAGAGAATGGGAACTTACTGCTGTGCCATCCTCCTGTTCGGTGACAGTGTTTAGGTTTGTGCTTTGATCTTGTTAAATTGTTGTGGAGGGTCCACAGGCTTATGTCTTAGCTTGAAGGGAGAGAGTAAGGGAAGGATAGATGGATGGAGAGAGAGAGAGAAGATGGACAGATGGATAAGGACTGCTAATGGAAATGGAATCCACAGGTACCAAGGCACCTGAGCAAGGCCAGCCTATGCATCCAGAGCCACACCGGACTGTGATCAGGGTTATCCATGCACTTCTCTTCTCAAGGCCTTGGGGTAGCCTGCGGTATTGTGCAGATGTCCAGGGAAAATAAGTAGTAGGGTTATGGTCCCCGGAGAAGCAGCTTGCCTGAAGTCTGTTAGTGCCTGTTTCCCATAGTGACCCTTCTATCACCCCAAACCTTCTCTGTGTTTTTGTTATTGTCCCTACATGAGCTCGTGAGTAGCAAAGCAAAAGAGCTCCTTTGGAGCAGGAGTCTGGTTCATCCCAAGATATTCTCTGACCTGTAGGTTGAGGCAAGGAGGGTCCCATCTGAACCACTAGCTCCTGATCCTGCCTGCCAGCCAAGTCCTCACAGCTCTGGTGTGGGGCCCTGCTGCCACCTGCCGGCTTCACTTATAAACTGCAGTCCTAGCTCAGCCCTGGTCCACAGGATTCTGGGACTGCATGAAGAGAAAAAAATCTGGACACATATCTGCCCCCCGCCCCGCGCGCCCCATAGCAATGCCTGTTGAATAGACAAATTCACAAACATGGGAGCATCTGGGTAACAGCCAGAGCAGGAACAGACAGAGCATCCCAGCACTCTGGAGGCTGAGGCAGGGAGAAAGATTATCAGATGTTAGTCGTTTGTATGGTGGATAGGAAGAAGGGAAGGCACCACTGTGTCTTGGGCAGTTGATATCCTGCCTGTGATCACTTTGGGAGGAAGATTGGGAGAGCTCTGTGATTCACTGAGAGCTCCAGCAGAGTACGGCAGAAGCAGCATTCACACTGCATCTCGGGAACTTGGGAGTCATGATGGTGATTGGCAGACACTAATAAGCACAAGGGCAGATTGGATACTGGGACACAGAATGACTGCCTCAAGAGCTCTGGCTACCAACTAGTGGGCAACACAAAGGCTTCTTTTCTTGAGCTGGGACTCCTGCATAGTGAAAGAATCAGCTAAGGTCCCCATGACAAAGGTGTGCCCAGGCACCTATGACAGAAGCCAGGCCATGCTGAGGTACTTGCCTATTCCTTGCTGTAGAAAAAACTCCCTGAGGCATGACTCTTCATAGCAGGTCTAGTTGGGGCATAGGAGGGATTCTCCCTTGCTATGTCTGACACTCCTCCTAAGAGCCTGCTTAGATGACAGGTATGACCAAGCAACAGTACTCAAATAGAGAACTTTATCCCAGGCTTCCTCAGACACTGCCAAACCCAGAGTTGCCTCTGAGGGAGAATCCCAAGTCTTGACATATACAGCTTGCGGAGTCTCCTCTATGTGGAAAAAGGTCTCTAATGGCCCCTGCCTTCCAGGGAGCAAGGCTTCTCCACTCAGGACATCCAAACTACAGTAGGATGCACACTCCCTTCCTGAAAAGCGTCATGGTCAATCTACTTACCTGAGCCCCAACTGTCAGGGGAGACCAGCATGTGGCCTGCTTAGGATTGGAATCCAGGTAGCTGACCTCAGGGCTGGTTGATGCTAACCCCTGCGTTGCCTGGCTTCCTGCTCTTGGCACACTTCCTCCATCTTCCACCAGTCCCCGCTTCTCCCCACGAGGGCCTCGACATGTTTTCATCTTGCTGTTCAGAGCTTTATCCGCGTGTACTTACAGTATTTCTAATTACACTGGAGTGAAGGACAATTAGAATGATAGCCTGGAGGAAGCCCGGCCACTCTTTCCACCAGAGATCTTTACTCTGCACCATCTCTGGACCAGGTATGACCTGAGAGCATCTGCCCTTCAATGGGAAATGAGACATTTTTGTCTCTGTTCCCCAGGAGTACTACCATAGAACAAGGAGACCACACACACATTCACAGACAGAAGAGAAAATCATTATTGACAGGTTGACTCTGGGAGAACCAGAGCACGGAGATGAAAGAGAAAGAACTAGAAGGAACAAGTTTGAGCAGGTCACAGGAAGGTTCTTCTTACACTGGGAACTAAAGTGTAAGAGAACCAGCTGAGCAGAGATCTTGGGACGGGGACAGTATTGCCTGCCTCCAGGGTCCCTCAAGTGACTACCCCTCCCCCACAGGCTTGTAGAGGAATTCATGCTCCTGGCCAATATGGCAGTGGCCCACAAGATCTTCAGCACCTTCCCGGAGCAGGCCCTGCTGCGCCGGCACCCACCACCACAGACAAAGATGCTCAGTGACCTGGTGGAGTTCTGTGACCAGATGGGTCTGTCCATGGATGTCAGCTCTGCAGGGGCCCTCAATGTGAGTTCTGGTGGGCAGGTAATGGGAAGTCTTGCTTGGAGAAAAGAGACAAAAGCCTGAAAGTTGGGCTTGTGGCTACTTTTATGCCTTATGTAGTCTCTCCCTATTCAGCCAGGTCTCCTCTACAGTGGGGAGGATGGCCCCAGCGAGGGAAAAGCACTGTTATCTGGTCTGGACCAAGGGAGGCCACTCATTTCCCATTGAAGAGCAGATGCTTTCAGGTCATTCCTGGTCCAGAGATGGTGCAGAGTAAAGATCTCTGGTGGAGAGTGGCCGGGCTTCCTCCAGGCTCACTTGTAAGAAAAGTGCTCTCTCTCTCTCTCTCATATATATATACTGGCATGTCCTATATCAAGGATTAGTCCTTATTGTGCTGGACGACTGGAAACAAGGACTCTTTTTTTAGAGGAAGTCGCCTCAAGTGCCCCCTTCTTGGAGCTAAGCTGTAGGGGGTTGCAGAACCAGTGTCCTGGCTCATCCCACAAAAAGGAGACTTCCCACCCGTGCTTCAAGGTTGGGGTTGGGTGGAGGGGCAGAGGATTATTCTAGTCAAGAGTGGTCTGCCAGCTAAGGTTGGAAGATCTTAGGCCCATTGTGTGCTACAGGCTATGAACCACTTCTCTGGTGCCCTACAGGGAGTCATCAACCCAAGGCTGGGCCCATAACCGAGGACCCCTCTCTACCCTCCCCAAACTTAGGATCAGATGATTAGCAGGTGAATCCTCAAACCTCTTCCCAAACCTGGCCATATCTTATAGAGGTTTCTGGGGTTTACTTCTAGAAAAGCCTGACCAAAACATTTGGAGACGACAAGTACTCTCTGGCCCGGAAAGAGGTGCTCACCAACATGTACTCCCGGCCCATGCAGGTAAGGAGAGGCCACACCTGTCCTTGATCCCAGAAATACCTGTGACTCTGACTAGCAAGCACCATGTGTATATAACCCACCACTGTCTTGCTCTGCTCTGGGGCTTGCTGGATAGAGAGGAGCTGCTAAGGAACACTATCAGGCAAGGGATGCGCAGTCACACCTAGGACAGGCAAGCCCTGGGCTCAAGAAGAATCTTGTGTATGTGCAAAAGCATGCTCCAGCCCTCAAGGGCTACTCTGGACTATGGTTGCTAGAGACCCCAGGCAAGAAAAAGCCCCCACCTTTACTGCAGCTGCAAAGTCTGACCAGGAGAATCAGTTCGTTAGGAGCTTGGGCCCATGTTCCCAGGCAGGTGACAGCCATGAGCTAGACAGATGGGCTGACTCGTAGCAGCCTGTCACTATTCTGTAGTTCCTGCTGGGCCTAAGCATCCTGGGGATGGGAACCATCTCAGTAGATTGGCAGGTCTACGGGAGTTATGGGTATTAATGGGATCAGCTGTGGGCCCCCACACCTGCCAGGGCAGTGGCAGGCCATTTTTCAAGGGTCAGTCACTCTTGGCACATCCAATCTGTTCATGAGAGTCAGGTGGCCTCAGCCAGCCACAGCTGATTTATTTCCTGATAACTCTTGGCTCTACTATGATGGCGCTATCAGGACCTTTGGGGGCCTAACTGCCTGTTCCCTGCTCCCAATCTCCAGTGTCTGTTCCCCACCCTTACCCTAGACAGTGCTGACAGCAGAGAGGCTGAGCACCTTGCTGTGCTCACCAGAAGCCTCAAAGACCTTGGGCTGTGCTGTGTGGGATGCTTCTGCCCTCCAGGATTCCAGGGGCAAGGAGTGACCCAGTGATGGGACAGGCCAGGGGCACAGCTACAGCAAGCACAAAAGTGAGAGGAGTGAGGCCTGGTTCCCAAGAAAACTGCTGCAGCAGGACACCAGAGCTATCCCAAGGATCTCTGGCCACTGCGGAGAAGCCATTATTGTTACCCTGCCCGGAGACAGCTATACTGACCAAGGAGGAGCCTGAACCCCTTTTCCTCCTCACCCCAGCCTTTCTGAGGAACTGAGTCACAAAGATAAGCATGACTTGCTGAGAAGACTATGTCCATGGAGTAACCAGAGCAGGCTGTCCATTGGTCAGGTACTCTGGAGCTTTCAAGGTAGTGAACTTCCTTCCAGGCAGCAACTGCAGAATCCAGGGGCTGTGGCAAGGCTGAGACCAGACTTTGTCTAGGTTGTACTGAAGCTGAGAACAGCTTAGTGACTCCTTTTGCTCAGGTATTTTAGACAAGTGTATCACCTTGGACAGTTAGTCAGAAGCAGACACAGGCTGGCAGGCTAACAAACTGCGTCCTATGGCTGGCATATGCTGGAGTACTGCAGAACCAGTGTGCAAGTGTGACCATCAGCTGGGCAGAGATCAGGGCCAAAGGAGATGGGGGTGGCTCAGCAAGGCTGGGAAGCTCCTTATGGGCTGCACTCCCATGGGAGTTGGCACCTTCTCATGCTGGCCAGGGACATGTGACATCCTCAGCTTCAGCTGTGTCTCTGGAAGACAATTTACAGCCCTGGGCCAGTATGGCCATATGTTTTCCTGTCTGCTATCATTCTGACCCAGGGTGGAAGCCCAGATCCATCCTAAGGATCAGTCCCCAGGCAACTCCTCTGCATCATTCCTGGCAAGGGACTCAGCAGCCATGGGCCTTAGTGGGGAGGAACCCTTGCACAAATGCCCTGGTGGCTAATCTCACAGGGCCAGAGGCCATCTAGCATCCTGAGGGCTCCCAACACCCCATACCCAGCAGAGATATAGCTCTCTGGGTTATTCCAAGCACTAGTCTCATGGTCAGAGACCTGGCAGCCCTGGGCCTGGCTAACATGTATCCTGAACGGAAAAGGAGTCTGATCACTACTGTCCTCCCTGGCAGCTGCTGAGATCCCTTAGGTAGAATGGCCCTGGCTCCAAGAACCAGACTGTCTTTGATCAACTGCCTAAATAAAGCTTATAGGGGAAGTCTGTGCCAACCCTGCCATGGGCCAGGCTTTGGGTCTCAGCACCTGCTAGACCCATCCAGGCTTAGTCCCACTCTTCCTCCAGATGGCACTGTACTTCTGCTCTGGGATGCTGCAGGACCAGGCACAGTTCCGGCACTATGCTCTCAACGTTCCCCTCTACACACACTTCACCTCTCCCATCCGCCGCTTCGCTGACGTCATAGTGCACCGCCTCCTGGCTGCTGCTCTGGGTAAGGGACATGACTCTGGCCTGGGAAGACCTTTGCCAGTCAAGAGTTACCCACTCTCAGAGTAAGTGACCAGAGACCACATTACTGTGATCACAGAAGTTCCAAGGGACAGAGAAGCCTAAGTTTGAACACTGTCCACCCACATCTAGATGATGGGAGCTGCAGTGGGACTTTCTGAAAGCCTGAGACCATAATTTTCCCAAGATCCCTTGCCTCAGCACACAACCTTCTTCAGCCTACTCACTAGCAACCCTGATCACCCCCTCCCCAGGCTACAGTGAGCAGCCAGATGTGGAACCTGATACTTTACAAAAGCAAGCCGACCACTGCAATGACCGCCGCATGGCTTCCAAGCGTGTACAGGAACTCAGTATCGGCCTCTTCTTTGCTGTTCTAGTAAAGGTAAATGTCCAACGTGATCCCTGCCCCTTCCCCCTCCCCCACCCTCCTAGGTATACACTCATCAGGAGCTTGTATGGAGCACAGTGCAGGCCCTTCCTGGGAGGATGTCATGACTGGAGCATTGTTTCTACAGGAGAGTGGTCCCCTAGAGTCTGAAGCCATGGTGATGGGTGTCCTGAACCAAGCCTTCGATGTGCTGGTGCTGCGCTTTGGGGTGCAGAAGCGCATCTACTGCAACGTGAGTATGCCCTGTGGGAGTGGGAGGCATGCACCTGCAGGACAAACCAAACCCTAAAGGGCTTAGCACATGATTCACTGCCTTTTCCCTGCCTCTGTCTATTTCCTTGATGGGGACCCCATATGTCCCTGACCCAGAACAGCCCATGGTAGTTTCCCAAGCTTAGAAGGCAGGACTAAGCTGAGAGCCTTGTTGTCCCCATTCATGAGCTATGTAGGACCCACAACTCACCCCCCCTCAGCAGTGGGCTTCACTGGCATGTGACAGGAGGGGATCAGGACCCCTAACTCCAAGTTTGTCTGATAGACCCTTCCCAGACACCCAAGTAAGCCTGCCTGGGACAGGACTTCAGGTCAAGGGTTAACCTAAATTCTTCCCTAAAGACCCAGGCACTCAGAATATAACCAGGATGGCAGGGTGTAGGGCCTGAGGTGTTTTTATAGGGACATGTGGAAGGAGAAGCCAGAGGATGGCCAGGACTGCTCTGAACACTGTGTACCTTAAGAGAAGAAAGAGGCCTGGCCTGCCTTGAGTTCTTCCCTGGGTGACAGTTCCTTTGAAGTTCTCTTGGCGTCTGCTGTAATGTCAGCTGGGGGGGTTCACTTTAGCTTCTCTGTGGTCACCTGGCTCTTTCCCCTGGCTTTGAACTCCTATATACAGAGCACATGGGTAAGTGTGGAGCTCTGCACAGGAAGAGACATAACAATTCATAAAGGAAGTAAAACAGGAGTGGGCCAAGTGCAGCTGGAAACATCAGGCACCTGTGGGTCACTGAGTAGGATGGTAGTTCAGATCAGTTGGTAATACAGTCTCTGCTGTTCCCTGGCCCTCAGCCTGGGCTGGTAGGCATCTTGCCAGCAGGGGTTGCAGCCATCAGATAGTTGAACAAGCCTATACAGACCTGTTCCTCCCCAGTACAGTTACATTAGAGCACTGGTCCCTCCCAGATTAGATTGCCCCTTGTTCCTGGGTCACCTTCAGGTATCACTTAGAGCAAAAGTAACTTGGCAGAGGCTCCTGAAGCTGGGTAGGATGTCCCATGTCTCAAGCGAAACAGGCAACAGCAATAGAGCAATGGGTACCATCTTCCTCCAGCTAGTCAGAAATTTGTCAGGGGAGAGGGCCACCCCCAAGCAGGAGAATTAGAGGTTCAGAGGTGGCATCTGAAGCCCATGGCCTGAAGCTCTGATGTGTATACCCCCAGGCACTGGCCCTTCGATCCTACCACTTTCAGAAGGTGGGGAAGAAGCCAGAGCTCACACTCCTCTGGGAACCTGATGATCTTGAAGAGGAGCCAATACAGCAGGTCAGCTCCTTACTGTGTCCCTGAGCCCACCTTCTGTCTCCCACATGTGCCCCTAGGTCCTCATCTGCCCCTCATTTCTCCCCCAGCACTGTAGGCTCCCCAGTGGGGTTTCAAGCCCCCATGCTAAGACCCAAGTCCTGCACTTAGACTCCAGGTTCTCACATGGAAATGCCCACTAGAGACAGAGACGGGAACCATCCTTCTCCACCAAACATAACTTTCAGAATTCTTTGAGAAGCTTATAAAAGCTATAGACCTTATATCCATCTTGTTCCAAAGGCTGGCCCAACCAAGCCTGTTTTCTTGATCCTCATGAATGTTCACTGAATACCAGGTGCCTGCATGATGCCATCTGGGCCATTGGTTCTCCCCAGGCCCTAGGACTCTCATTTACAGAGGGCAGCAGAGGCTAGGTGAGCCTCAGCAGTCGGCTTGCTTTGATTACAGGTCCTTACCTACCCTGTCCTCTCCCTGTGCCTGGCTCTGCTACAGGTCATCACCATCTTCAGCCTGGTGGATGTGGTCCTGCAGGCAGAGGCCACAGCCCTCAAGTACAGTGCTATCCTGAAGCGACCGGGCCCTGAGCGTTCCCTGGGCCTGGAGAAGGAGTCTGAGGAGCCTGAGGACTGAATGCTAGCCCAAGCCAGGCCTGTGCCTGCCCTACCCTGCTGGCTTTTAGGAATGGGACCTTTTGACACCAAAGGGGATTTTTAATTTGGTTTTTTAACAACTCAGGGGTTTGTTTTTATTTCTTATTTTTTAATTTTATTTTACTTTTGCAACTCAGTTTTTAAATGAACTGGAAGGGATACAGTGTGGTTGGGGGTCAGGGGAGGGAATGCTGAGGCCTGGCCAGTGCTTCCCTGAGCAGAGAGGGTCCCAGTCTTCCTGGGCAGGCAGCCTTGCTTCGGCCAGGCCACCCACTGCCCTTCCCTGCCCAGGAAATGGGGGGTTTCAGCAAATCAGTGTCATGGAATAAAATCAAGTGTGAAGTGCTGTCTGTGTAGATGCCATGGGGAAGCCTGGCAGCAGGGTGGTCTTGTGCACCCAGGGCAAGGGGGCTCCCCAGGAGCCACCTCATGGCTGAGCTGGGGTCATCAGCGCAGGACCTTCCTGCTAGCTCCAGGGTGATTCATGAGCCATGTGTGGCAGATTGATGCCGCAGCCTCCTTCTGGCTGATTAAAAATGTAATTAGTATGCACAGCAGGGAGCTGCCAGTCACCCTGTGCATGTGACTGTGGCCATTCCTCCCCACCCGTTCTCTCTGCTGCAGCGCATGGGTTCTGGGAAGGTGGGGCTACAACCCCTCTCTCTTGTATACCATAGGCCAAAGCTCCCAGTATCCCAGTAGTTCTGTTAGCATCTGTGATATGAGTAGGTACCTGAACACCTACAGTTTCAAACCTATACCCTAGCTTGTGGAAGGATCACGGAGATGGGTGAAGCCAGACCTTCCAGAGGACAGGAACCTTTCACACCAGATCCCAGCCACCTGCTTAGCATCTTGAGCACTGGCAGACCGTACCCTCGTTGCCTGTGTTCATAGGCACAACCTAGCCTATGAATTGACTTCAAGAACTACTAGAATCTAGGATGGAAACCAAAGCAACCAAGGCCCTGTTCTCCGATGCTGTTCCCTGTGGCGTTAGGATTAACAGGCTCATCTGATCTGGTCACAGTGATTTTCTTCAAAGAAAGATTCTGTAGAGTGCCCTGGCAGGTTCTTTGCAGTGAGTGACTGGCACGGCTGCAAGGATGCAGTAGCCCTAGGATAGGCTGTTGCCTGATGAGAACCAAAGATACATCCCTACTCCAGCCCTGGGTTCTGTCTTCCCAAATGCCTTGTCAACCTCAGACAGCCTTCATGTGCCTATTCTGCTACCCCTAAGATGTCCCTTCTGCACCCATTTCCAGACCAACATATCTGGATGGGCAGATTGGTGAGGGATGATGGTTTGGTATTTTGGGGAAGACAATTCTGGTGCTTCCCCAGACCTGGATGCCAGTCTAAAGGTCCCATCCCTCAAACCTATGCCGCCCTCTGAGGAAAAGCAGCAAGCAACTCTGGCCTGCCAAGCCCAGGCTCCCATCACCTCCTTTCACTGCCTCCCACAGAGCCCTTGAAGTGAGAAGCTAGGACAACACGTCCCTCCTGCCCCCATGAGGAGGAGCTGACCAGTCAGCAAGGAATTTTTGCTGTGTGGACTTGCTTAGAGGGCAGGTGCTAGACTAGAATCTTCTACAACAAGCCAGACATCATGTCACTGGGAACTCCGAGGCCATGAAAGTCCTGGGTTGCCCCCAACCTATCTGACTAATGGAAGTCTCAGGTCTCCATTTGAGGTGGTGCAATCAGTCTGTACCTGTCCTAAACCCAAGCTCCTGTCCTCCATCATTGCCTCCCAGGCTCAAAGCCAGTGGCTTGACAATCTTCCGACACCACAAAAGCTGAGCTCTTTGTGTTCATTCAGCACCAAGTCAGTACACCAATGGAACTAGCATCCATGTGCCACTGAGGGTGACAGGCCCTCTGTTCCCCACACTAAGGGACTGTTGACAGAAGAGGCATACAAACTCATCAAAAGGAGTGTGCTCATTCATGCAGCTGTCCAAGGCACCTGCCTGCCATTGCAGGCTGAAGCATAGGGCACAGAGCCGGTCACTGGCTTTTCCTTAGGGGCCCCTTGAGGCCCATGTGGAAGGAAGACTGACACAATCCCACCCCATGACTGGAGTCTGGCAAAACTCAGAAGCAGCTGGTGAATGTTTTCCCAGGGGAAGATGGAGGCGGCTGTGAGCCCAGCATGGGTAAGGGAGCCAAGGCGGTAACGTGTAACCCATCCTCCTGGGAAGAGGCTGATACCCTCTACAGTCAGACTTAGGAAAGACCCCTGGAAAGGACTCCAGTGGGCCTGGTGTGGTGACCCACGGGAAGCTGGGCACCACGCACTGGAGGCACGGTAAGACAGGACGCTGGTGCCAGGTAGAGGCAAAGCCATTGCAGCAACCATTGAAGACGGACCAGGTGAGAGGAGGAGGGCCTGAGATGGTACAACATCCCGGAGTGGAGGCCTCCCAAAATGGAGGTGGCATGAGCAGAGTGGGAGCAGCCGAGGCCAGAGGTGGCGCCTACTTGGGATGAGTATTTCCAGTGAGGCTGGCCTGGGAAGGAGGGCTGAGCCGTAGGGCATTGATGACTCAATGAGGTGAAATGAGGGGCCATGTGTGGAACAGCTGGGCTACGTGAAGAGGATACACTTCTGAAGAGCATGCAGGGCAACCCAAGAGGCTTAGAAGAGGTGAAGTGGGTATAGCTGGGCTCTGGAAGAGACTATTACAATCCATAAGAGCCAGGGCCCTGGGGTCAGATCTCCCATTAAAGGTCATTGGACATAGGTTTCTGAAGAATACAAAACACTGCTCTCACTGTCTCCCCACAGACCACCAAAAGGCAGCAAAGAGCTTGTTGTGAGAGATTCATTGTGAAGGGGAATGAAAAATGTGGGAAGAAGTTGCACTGGAAGCTAAGGGTGAGAAAATAATCCCTGTCAGACCTGAGAAAGGCAGATACAAGACCATCAACAAAAAATGCTGGAACAGCCAGTCTGCAGCACTGCACAATATCTATCAAATACTTGGGCTCAGGGTAGAGAAAGGTTGCTACAGAGGCCAGTGGTGCCACTGTATTAAATAAATAAACTGGGGGCTGGAGAGATGGCTCAGAGGTTAAGAGCATTGACTGCTCTTCCAAAGGTCCTGAGTTCAATTCCCAGCAACCACATGGTGTCTCACAAACCATCTGTAATGGGGCCTGGTGTCCTCTTCTGGCCTGCAGGCATACACACAGACAGAATATTGTATACATAATAAATAAATATTTAAAAAATATTTTTAAAAAATTAAATAAATAAATAAACTGGCCTCTTCCCCACACCAGCAGACAAGAGATCCATCCTTGGAGAGGTAAGATGGAGAGCTTGTGAGAGATTCATTGTGGTAAAGTCTCCTGTGCACAGGACCTCACCAGGTGCAGACAGCACCTCCAGCTCCTCTGCTACAGGATCTGGTCAGCCCCCAGGACTTCAGCACCCCACAGGAGATTGGAAGCATCTTCTCTGGGGTATCCTGCACCCACTTGAAACACAAATTTGACATCAGGAGTTCCCCCCAATGAGATCTCAGTCAGATTTGTCATGGGGAATCCAGTTGCCAAATCCTAGGGTACTCTGGCTTCTGATCACCTTGTGGGTCCTATCTAAATAAAGATGGCCAAGGAAATTTCTTTTTAAAAGGAAAACAGGTTCTATGGGGGAAACAGACCATTCAGGGAGAAGAAAGTATCAGAAAACAAAGTTCTTACTGACATTTTTAAAGAGACAAAAATGGAAAAACAAGGACTAGATGCTAGTTAGGCACAAAAGAAAGGGATAACCTGGTGGCTCAGCCAGTAAGGCTCCTGGCACCAAGTCTGCCACCCTGAGTTCAGTCAGGGCTTACATGTTAGAAGGAAGAACCTGGCCATTATGCATGATCCAGAGTTGTGCTTCAGCAGCAACCAATAGTGGTTGCTATGTATTCCTTAAGGCAGCTGTGGAGTGTTCAAAATAGCCAAACTACCATGAAGGCTTGGCTAATAATCTTAAGCTCAAGGTTCCAGAGAAGGGTATAATGACAGTCCAATCTCCCTGGCCCCCCAATGTCTTAACTTATTTAAAAAAAAAAATAGCTGAGCATGACAGCTTATACTTGTAATCCCAACGCTTGGGAGGCTAAGGTAAGAGGATTGCCATGTATTGGAAGCCAGCCTGTAGTACATAGTAAATACTAATGCAGCCAGAACTATACAGCAAGACTCAGAAAGAAAGGAAAAATAAACATTAAAGGGCTACTTAGAATAAAAGCCCATCATTAACTTTAATGGCATTTAATGGTGCTCAATTCTTAACCAAATACCATTGGGAGAAGTTAGATTAGTGTATGTCTCATACACCTAAACAGCGGAGTGCTCAAGATTGAGGGACAGGCCAGCAGCACCAGGTGCGTGAGAAGGTCCCTGCCTGAGGCAGCAGGAGAAAGACTCCAGGAATAACCCATATGTGACAATAAGAAAGTAGTGACTGGGGAGGGGTGCACACAGCAACACAAGAAAGAAAAGACATTGTTGGTTTACAACCTGGCACTCTGGCAACAGCACTTACAGCCATCTAAGGTGAGTGCTGAGGAAGACTCTCAACTGCCCTGGAGCCGTATTTCAAGGATGGAGGCGTGGGAAAGGTGAGTAGCTAGTTTGCTCTCTTCAGTGGGAGGTTGTGGGGATTAGTGATGGCTGCAGATCCTTCACGTGCCCAGCACCACACACTCTATTCTTGTCCTTCCTCTTGAATCTGGACAGGCTCTTTGGCTCCTGAGTTCAAACATGGCAGAAGTGATGTTGCACTGCCTCGGGCCATGCCTTAAGAGACAGGTTGTTTCTGGTCCCTTTCTGTGAGAGCTCCACGGCCACACTGGAGGCATGCTGGAAATGCATTCCCCCAACCTTCACCAAACCACCCCAGCGGTGGCCTTACAGAGGAGAATCAAAGTCCTGTCCAAATTGCAGATTTGTGTCAATTAAAAAAAAAAAGATTGTATGTAGGTTGCTTGGGGATAGTTCATGACAAAATATTAATGAAAAATATCAGTAGACACAGCTTAACATTGAAGATGGAGAAATGGTAGTTTTCATTTTTCTGTTGTTTCTCTAAGGTGTCATTTTTACAAACTGATAATTATAAAAATTAAAAACCCCAAGCCAAGATTGTGGGGACTAGGGAAAAGGCTCCGTAGATGAGTGCTTGCCACCAACAGAAGGTGGCCTGAGGTTCTGATCCCAGAGCGCACACAAAACAGTGCAGGTGTGGCAGTGACCAGCAATCCCAGCACTTGAGGCAGAGAGGGATCAGGGAAGGTGCCTGCCGTCAACTTTGGGACTCCACAAACACCCACCTGCTCATGC